GCTTATCTGATACGGAATAGAGGCACATCTGAGGGACGGGATGGCACCCTCGGGGGCACTAGCTTGGAACACGTGCGGCCAGTAACACGGCATGGCTTTCGTGAAGCACAATGACCGCACGAAGTGGAAATTTTGATTGCTGGATCGGGACGTGCGGGGATGGGGCAGCTACAGCGCGGGTGCAACGGTGTATGGGCTGCAATCAGGCCTAGGCCCCAGGTCCGAACTTTCACTAACTGCGGGTCTAATGGGTGGTACCGCTCAGACAGACGGGGCCACTTGCTATTTCAGGCCAACGCAGCGCGGCAGGCAGAGGGAAGTCGCTGCTGCCTCGCACATAAATAGGCCATGAGAGGGACTGAGAAAGGGGGAATTTTGGGGACACACGTGCAAGCTGTACCCAGCTCTGCATGCCGAAGAAGGTGCAGTCCACACCCGGCCGGTTGCAGCAGCCAAGGACGTGGTAGCCTGGGAAGGAGACCGTCGGGAGGTGCTCAGAATCGGGAAGGGCTGGCCCGACCGAACGACGGGGGATCTGCAGCATAAGGAAGGAAGGCAGGGCTGAAGGGGGGATTCGGACGGAGAGGGCGGCTGCGTGCAAGGTGTCCCCCGCGGACGTCCTCGGAGGTTGTTGAGACGGGACTTGAGCGAGTCGTGCCCACCGCTCTCGCACGGAGGCGCAGGTTGTTACGGGAAGAGGGGAGACACAGCGCGCGGGCCAGGTGTACCCAGCCCGCATTCCATCCCGTATCAGTGCGCCAGGCGTCCTCGGTAGGATGGGCAGTTGAACTGGAGAAGGGCGGAGACGGGGGAGTTTTGAGAAGTATACACGGTGTGCACGGGCGGCCATTGCCCGCGCTGGCTGAGGTCAACAGAGACGGGGGAGTTTTGAGAAGTATACACGGTGTGCACTGGCGGCCATTGCCCGCGCTGGCTGAGGTCAACAGAGACGGGTAGTTTCAGGGACAGGAGACGAAGACGGGGGACGAGAGCATGCGAGGCGTTCACCGGGCTGCGTTGCTGATGTCAACCGGTTCGCTCGAGCAAGGTGGACGGCTGATGGAGCTCGACGATGGTACAGTGTGACATGGGAGGGGAGCACTTGACACGGTGGAGTGAAAAAAGAAAACGGTAGAGAGCCAATCAGGAGGGGCGCTGGGTGCGTGCGCAGCACCTCCGTTGGTAGATAGGGTCATCTAGTTGCGCTTCAACCGTCAAAGGCTACGACGGGATAAGAGCGTTCAGAAGAAGTGGGCGTGGAAAGAGAGCCGGGGAAGATGGGAGACCGCCGGAGCAGTTGACAAGAGGCCAAAGGGCAGCGCGGGGACGAGCCAGGCGCGCGCAGCTAACCACGACTCAGATACGTATGCAGGCGAGGGGAGGAGTAAAGCGCTTTTGCCAGCTGCCCACCGTCAAGCTTGGAGTTCGATCCGGGCGCACCCGCTCGGAGAAGGGGGCGGTAGGGAGGGGCAGGATCAAGGCGTACCAACTGGAATCGCCGCTAAACTGGCCAAGTGGAGAGAGAGAGAATGATACTTCGCTAAGGGAGAGCGACGGGACAGATGGGGAAAACATGTGATTTTGAAAAAGACTAGTATGCCTGTCGTGCCGAGTACTCGCCTGCCCACGGATCCGGATACGATGTAAGAGGAATCTTCCGCCCTGAGAAGCGGGGAGAGCGCAAGCAGTTTTTGGGCGCGATATTCCCGTGTCTCTTTTGACAAACTGCAGGTATTAATCTCGCAGATTTCCAGAGCCTTGAAAAGCCCGTTCCTCTGCTGTCGGGTTACGAGCTCGAGACTGCGCAGGGAAACGAGCAAGAAACGTCAGGTTTATCTGGGCTTCATAAGCCCGTTTCTAGTCAGGGCACACACGAATCCAAATATGTGCAGGAAACTGGGCAAGATACATCTAGATTGTCTGGGCTTAATAAGCCGTTTCTAATCTGGGTAATCACGAATCTGAATCTGAGCGGGAAGTTGAGAAAGATACACCTGGTTCGTCTGGGCTTAATTAGCCTGTTCCTATTCTGTGCAAACACGAGCCCGAATCTGGACAGGAGGTTGAGCAGGGTACATCTTATTTGACTGGGCTTAGCACGCCCGTTTAAGATATGAACAATCACGAGTCTTGAGCGCTGGGACTTGGGCTGAGTATATCTGGGTTATCGGGAGATGATATACTCGTTTTTGTTTCCAATGAAAATTCGAGTATTAATGTGCCAGAAAAGGGAAGTAAATATACGCAGACTATAAGGGTTCGACATGCCCGTTTCTTTTCAGTAAATTTTTGGGTTTAAATCTGCTCGAAAAAGTGGGGGGGAAATACATGCAGTGTATCTAAAGTGCAGTGATCACTTGCTTTGCCTGTCCTTTGCGAAACTCAACTGTCATGCAGTCTTGTCACCCTCTTAATTGACTGTTAAAACCCTTTACCATTTAAGCTTACCGCTTGCTCAGCTTCGCGTCGAATTTCATAGCTGCATATAGATGCAGAACCCACGACCGTCAGTGGAGACTACCGCTGCATGAACCTCGTGACATACCAGTCAATGATTGAAACCTACCGCGACACTTACTTGCTAGATGGCCGGTTGGCTGAAGCAACCCACTGCTGTATGAACATGACGTGACAAAGTGCGAGTTACGGCACCCTTTAAGCAATCTCACCACCTGGTCGCTGAGGACCTCGGAAGCGGGCGCGGCGAGTGACAGGCGCCGTAGCCCTTGGCTTTGGTGAAGAGTAGGTGCCCCTACCCCTCACACCGCGACGCGCGAAAACGATCGACTTGCTCCATCGGACCAACACTGGGGATTTCAGTTCCACACTCAATTTCCAAAAATCCTTGGCACACCCCATCTTGTTGTTTTTCTGGGCCTCTTTGCCGTACAGCTAACACTCCGAACGGAAGATAGCACAGGGCGTGAGGTTGGTATCGGAGCCGACACGTGTCGGTTTTGATGATAGTAAGTCGAACTGGCAAGAGGTAGGAGAGACCCTCCACTAGCTCGTCGAGATCGCCCCGTGACCAGGTCTCAGTCTAGTGCGACCGCGCTAGCAATACCAATGGTGGACGGTACTAGGGTGATCGTTAGCATCCCTGCCCCCTTCCCCTTCTTCCCCAACCATACCCATCCCGAGGCTTGGCTGGAAGCTGTCGAAGCTCAAAACTACAGCGCAGCCGATCTTCCCCGTGTTCTGACCTTACTACTCCGCAATACATCGCACGACTGGTTCAGAAAACATACATGGGTAGATTGGGAGACTTTTAAGCATGCATTATTGGCTCAATTCGACACGGTTAGCGAAGATGCCGCTTGGTACGTACTAAAAAATCGACCCCAAGGACCAGGGGAACTGTTACCCGATTTCATTGATCGATTTCAAACCACATTGGATAAATCCAGGCGAGACGAGAAATCTTTTCGAGATTTGTTTATTGATCACCTTCGAAGTCCGACCTTGAAAGGGAAACTGCAGAAAAAGATTCCGCCGAAAACAACCCAGTTATCGGCTATCATTACTAAAGCGTTGGAGCTAGACTTGGCTGATACAAAAAAATATATCAGCCAGGAAGACGAGGACATTACAGATACCATACGGGATGTAATGGCCAAAAGGTGATCATGGCTACAAGTAGTCGAACGGTTTTATCCCCGCCCCGACCATGATCTTCCCGACGGGATCGTTTCCGATATCTCGACTGCTTCTCCTCCATCTCCCCCGGTGAATCAATCGATCGCAGTCGTTAGAAGTGGAACTTCGTCTGAACCCCCCTCGCCGGCCGTAACCAATCTACACCTTACCTAGATGATCCATACGGTTGCTACCAAGCAGTCCAAATGGATGAGCAACTTGATCTAAATACAGGCCGCTCATATGGAACGGATGGAACAAATAATGAGCAGGCTCATTAAGCCTAACCCACCTCCTGCTCGACTGCAAGCAGCCCAGGCATTTCGCCCGGGACTGTCCGCAGCCGAAACGTAATCAGCCTCCCCCTGCTGCGGCCCCCGTTGCCCTTAATCAAGGACGAGTGGCCGCTCTGATGGATACGGATCAAGGAAGAGAACTCGTGGCATATGCCACAGAGCAGCCCTCCCCTTCAATGACAGCGGGATCTTCTTCCCCCGGCGCTGCTGACGTGGTCGATCCTCTCGAGTATCTCCATCTCACAGGCATGATCGGAGCGATCCGATCGGTCCCAGATGATCTCGAGTGGGTCGATCGCGAATCCAATCCAAGACCGCAATTTCAGACAGGAGACATTGATGTACTGAGAACGATCAAGCAGTTAGACATCCGCGTTCCTATTCCCGTAGGGCATCTGCTCACACCATATCTGAAGCGGCAAACGATAAACTTTTACAACACTGCCAGAAAAATCAAAAAATTTTCACCTATCAACGCATACAACGGATGTTGAAGAAGAAGGAAGAAGGTGAGGAAGTGGTATCCCCTGAGCCGGACACTAAAAAAAACTGAAGCCGCACGCATAGCCGTCATTTCTGTAGCAGAAAAGGATCACTTCGTACGAGCTCGGCCAGTACTATGGAAAAGTGCGGAATGTGACTGTGAAGTTTGGGGTATGTCGTTTAATGCTCTAATCGACACAGGGTCTTCTGCAGTGGCCATATCATTGGAGACTGTTAAAAAGACGGGACGACTTGGATCCATTCTTCCTCAATCTGGCAAAGACAACTATGTCTCTGCTGATGAGGAAGCAATGAACATTGTAGGCATTATCGAGAACGTGGCGGTAAAGGTCGGGCGAGTACACGTCCTTGTTAGCGCACTCGTAATAGATGTATGTTCCTACTCTGTGTTGTTGGGATTACCTTGGGCAATGGCGGTGGGCGCACGTCTGCATTTCGATTCGAAACAATTGGTGCTCACACAAACTGAGGGAAAGCCTCAGACTGTTCCTTTGCGGGTTTCCACCCGAACGATAAAACGGGTTCCTAACTCGCCCCAAATAGGGATGATCCGAGGCATTGATCCCGATGAGTGCTCCCCTTCGCGCCTCGGGGATGGAATCAGGGAACGGGAATACGAAGAAGAGATGCGCAGTAAAGAGGAATGGAAGCATCTGGTTGAACTTTTCGAACATGAAACCTCCGAAGAATTTCGAGTGTGCCCCGACGCCGCTCGAAGCTTCCACGTGGATTCTGAAGACAGTGCATTCACGCCTCTAACAACCCAGGTCAGTCCTTCAGTCCTCCTCGGGGAACCCATATTACAAGTTTCCAATCTGGCTGATGATTTGGAACCCCCTCGCACCTTGTACGAGGGAGCTCTTTCCTTACGAACGCGTTATCATCAAACGAAACAGTATTTGGACGTTTCTGTTTTTCCAACCCGATCACTACTAACGACAGGAGCCACCACCGCCTTGATTAAACAAGAAGCGGAAGCACCGGTAAGTGATGTGCTGAATCTAATGCAAAAAATGACGGATCTAACAAGGCTAACTGTGAAACCGACTTCGGTTGGTTCAGAGACTGGCGCTGAAATTAAAGAAACGGAGATGATCAGTTCCGCTGAGTCCCAGATGATAGCAACTATCTTTTCTGTTCGCACCAGTAGTTTTGTTTTCTCTAGTGTCCATGAGCAGCAGGAACGGCCGGTTGATTGGATCGATATGCCCCTTAATATGTCCGGGGAATCGACGATCCCCCTCCCGAGTCACGTCCCTGCGGAACTTCGAAAGTCGTTAATCTGTGTATTGAATGGTTACGCAGAAGTGCTGAGCGTGCATGACAATGATATTGGGTTAACTAATGTAATTGAACATGTCATTCTTACGGGAGATCATCCGCCCATTAGTTGCGCTCCCTACCGATACTCGTCAGCTCTACGAGCGGACGCCTTCCAGCGGATTAAGGAGTTCGAAGCTAATGGATGGATCGAACCCGCTATAGGACCATGGTTTTTTTTTGTAGTGATAGTACCCAAGAAGGCTGGGGGGATTCGCATTTGCATTGATTATCGAAAGTTGAATGATATCACGATTAAAGATGTGTATCCCCTCCCCCGGATTGATGAGTTATTGGATGCGATTGGGAGTGCTCAATTTTTCAGCAAGTTTGATGTTCGTCATGRGTTYCATCATCTTCTTGTCCRAGAGGAAGATCGACCGAAAACAGCGTTTGTGCTTTTCGAAGGCAYRTGGCAATGKATTCGATGTCYGATRGGTATCTGCAATGCCCCTGCAACTTTTCAGCGGGCCATGAACATGGCTTTTCAGAATTTCGTACGGAAGACTCGTTTGGCACAGAGCATCATCAACTACTGCGTGATTGTGTACATGGATGACATCCTAGTGTATTCGAGTTCCTACGAGGGACACGTGCAGCACATCGAATGGGCACTGCATGCGTTACGAGATGCAGGTTTCAAGGTGGCGCTTGAGAAGTGTCAGTTTTTCCTCACCACCATTTCTTTCCTGGGGCTTGTGGTGACAGACAAGGGACTCCAACCGGAGTCGCAGAAGGTGGCAGTTGTCATCGCGCCTGAGGCTAGTGCCAGCCATAGCTCCGTCCCCATCGTCAGACATACCTCCTACCTCCGTCTCCTTCCTCCTTCCGATTTTCCTCCCTCTTCTTCCTCGGAAAGCGAAGAAAACGACGATGATCTAACCCTCTCTCCTCTTTCTCCCTCTTGTCCCTCGTCCCCCTCTCCGACCTCGCCATGAGTTTCATCATGAAGCGGGTTATCGACGCACAGCTGCGGCAGCCACGTGCCCACATCTCAGAGATCCGGCAAGTTTGTCACCCTTGGCTCAATACGGATCTCCGCCGTTTGATGCGATTCTTCTGCGACGAAGGTATCTGTGCCACCGCCGCGTTTCGGATAGAAGGAAGCCCTCATGCGATAGTGTTCGCGGAGGTTACTGCGTTCATCGGCGAGCGGGTCCCAGAACGAGCCACGTCACCACAGTGGCGGCATTCACCGGCGATATCAGCTCGGTCAATCCGCTGCGGCATACCGCGATCTTGGCCTAGCTGCGCGAGTGGACGGAGCAAGTGTCCAACGTGTGGCAGCACGTCCTCGCCCGGGAGGGGTATAACATCATCCCGATTTTTGCATCGGACCTTGACGGCGTTCGTCGATCACCGCGCGAGCGGCCAGTTGCGATCCCAACCCTCGTCCCCTTCCCCCATCCCCAATGAACCATGCCAATTTTCTCACCCCTCTCTCTATCTTTGCTCTCCCCTCTCTCTTCCCCACCTTCTGGCAATCCGATCTCCACCCTTCTCTCTCCTTCTCGTTCGAACCTCTTTCGGTCCCTCTTATCAATCCTGGACATTGGCGGCTGTGGCGCGAGACTTTTGAGGAGATTGTCCTTCTGCCTGACCCGAGTACAAGTGAAGTGGACGGGCACTATCGAGCACCCCACGTGGATTGAGAATCCGGAGCTGCTGATCATACAGGGTTGGAGGACTAACGCGGAAGGAGATCTTATTGGATTCCTCTTTGGATCGGTACGACCGGGTCGTCGTCAGTTGATTGCACAAGAGCTCATCGCACCGATCGTGCAATTGGCGGACGATCTCTCGCCCGACATCTACTTTCAGAGCGGCAACAGTCCTGCTCCGTACATTTTCGAGCGATCCTTGGATCCGTACCTTCAGTGGACTTCGTGCTTGGAGGAACCTAGGGACGAGGATACGCTACCATCGCGGCAGGAGTATCTGAAGCCGTACGAGATCATCCCTCACGCCTTCTACCCGAGGGCAGAAGAAGTGGTGATTGACGACGACGACGAAGAAGAAGAAGACGACTACGAGGAGACATCGGAGGAGGGAAGCTATAGTGAACATAGCGAGGGCGAGATGAGTGAGGAGGAAGAGGAAGAAGAAGGAATCGGGTTCGAGTGGGAAACCCCGCCGGAGGAAGCGACGCGTACGGGAATGGAGGCGGAAGATCCGGAAGCAGCGCGAAAGCGCGAAGAGATTGCCTCCGGAAAGCGCCAGCTGGAGTTCGCTAGCGAGGCTAGCATGCGCATCGGTAGCGATCCGACCAGGGATCCAGAGCCGCCGAGGCCCGTAGATGGCGACCCTGCAGCCGCCACCTCAAGTACCGCGCGACGGAGACGGCGCCGATCCCCCTCCTCCTCCATCCCCACCCGTCCCCCAGTTCGCCCACGTGCCAATGCGGGCGATAGGCCTTCAACCTCGGACGATGCCCCGCCGACCCCTTGATTTTCTCACCCTCGAGCAGATCCGTACCCCCGTCACCTTCCCTTCCCATCCTTTCCATCCCCATCTCTTCCGCGACTTCTACTCTACCCGTCTACTCGCCACCGTCCACCCCCATGCCTCCCTTCAGTCCGCTGCTCCCACGTTCTGCTGGCATTTCCTGTTGTTCAGCGCTGCATGGGAGCAATGCAACGTGGTAGAAGTTTACTGCATCGCCACGGGGGCAATCCCCGCTTGCCGCCACTTCGAGATCTTTCGAGCGGCGCTTTTCCGTACCCTCTCCTCCTTCTATCGCGACTACCTCGCCTCCCTCCCCCGCAGTGGCGATCATTTCCGCCGCTTCCACCGAATCATCCGATATGAGGAGCTCCCGGTGATGATGGAAGGGATGAATCACTTCCTACCCCCACTCCCCCCCCGTCATCCCCGCGAGATCCCCGGCATGTACCGCCTCTACTGGCCTATTCCAACTAGGCGGTAGATCCCATTCACTTGACCCCCCCCCCCTTTTTTTTCGCTCCTCCCTTCATCGGCACGGATCAGTAAGCTTCGCGAAGATCACGCCATCAGCGATGACGTCAACCTACGCGCTGATTAGACAGTCGGCAACGAGCAAGGGTGCAGAGCACACGGAGATCAGGTGGACCATGATGGCGTCACCTGGACGATCTCCACGAGGCAGAGGGTTGCATATGACAGGGCTACAAAAATCTTGCCACGAATGTTCTCGCCATCTCATCCGCGGCCCAGTTATCGTTCCTTGTACTTCTTTCTGCTCTGTTGATATGCTTGGTTCCTCATGCATCACTCTGTTGTTCCCTCTTCTTTTTCGCCATGACATGCAATCAGGAGATCGCATAATTTTGGAACCCCCTGCGCGTCACATATGTGACGAACCACTTTCCGACCCCGTGCCATCTTTCGTACCCTTTTTTTTGCTTGTATCATACCAACCCCAGGAAAACCCCATTTTGAGTTCTTGCTTTCAGGTGCCGCATTTTCCTTTTTGAGAGCTTTTTCGACTGTTGAGTTTTGTTTTTCTTCTTGCAAAGTCGGGAAATACATGGGAATTTACGAGCGCCTTAGCGAGCGCACTGGGAATTGGGCTCGGTAGTTGGGAATTCCGGAATAAGCGGAACTTCGACGTGTCCTTTTTGGGTGTGTGAATGCTATTGGGCGCGTCGGGGAAAACTCTCGGAATTTTGCGTGAATACGAATAGGCGTAGGATTTTTTTTTCCCGCGTCGCTTTTTCGCGCGCGGATATGGTGATTTCAATTTTGAATTAGGATAGAAGCAAGCTGTAACTGTTTCGGTGCCTTTTTCTTCTTTTTTTGTTGACAGCGCCGTGCATGCAAAAGYTTCCTCCTCTYTGYCCCCYGCATCGCTCCCTCCCGCGCCTCCCTTCCCTTCTCCCTCCTTTTTCTCTCTCYCCGTAACTGTTTTTCCTTCTCCCTCTCTCTCTCTCCCRCCTTGCTTTCGCGCKCCCATTTCCCTTTCTTGATCATCTGAAYCTTGGACCCRTCTTGCGCCACCTCTCGCGCCTTTTCTCTTCTCACCCTCTACGTCTGGCGTACRACGCCYGGTCGATCCCCCGATAACTCCCTCTYGCCAATCAGGTGCGTRGATCGATAGGACCTTCCTATCRCRCGACGAATCTGATTGGTTGAACCTTGAGTTCCGAGGGATCAGCATGGCGTTCGTAGAGCACTCTTCTCAAAGTCTTCTCCTCCTGCTTCTCCTCTTACACCTCAGCTTTCCTGTCGCCTTCTCCCCCTTCTATCTCCCCTGTCGCAACTATAAAACCCGCAAGCGCATCCACAAATCTCTCTTACGTTCTCGACTCCTAAGCCAACTTCCGGGAAGTAGTGGCTAGGCAGAGTGGATTGATGCGAGTGGGAAAGTCTTGTCGGCCTGACGATAGGCTTGGCCGGTTGCGCGCTTCATCGCCACGACGGACTGTGGGATCCGGGCGAATCGTGTCGAGTTTACGACAGCGGGGTGACGATCGCAGTGGTGGGAGTTAGCACGCGACGGTCGGGATCGTCAGTGCGGGTATGAGGTTCGATGATTGGAGTTGAGTGAGTGATTGGCCCAGGGCCATAGTGGAATTAACGGCGAATGCGCCTTTGTTGCAGATTGTTATCCTTGGCGTGAGTGTAAGGTGGCGACGCC